ATCATTGGTTTCTCCCAAACACTGAATAACTGATTCAGTACCTGATTGTTCAGAGACCATTCTGTATGCTGAATCTTTACCCTGGACAGGTGATCTGCAATTGAATTCAAATGACCTGCTAGATGAGCAGCTTTCAGTAAGATGTTGTTTTGAATTGCCAATTTCCACAACTTCCAAACTCTTAAACAAAGGGCAGGTGATTTTGTTCCCCCCATTTTGTTTATGAATTGCACTACAGTGGTATTGTCGCATCGAATGAGAACTTTTTGATCTTTCAGATATGGAAGAAAATATACAACTGACTTGTACACTGCTTCTAATTCTAGATGATTGATGTGCAGAGACTTCTCGTTCTCTGTCCATATCCCCTGATAAAATTTCTTCTCTATGAACCCCCCAAACCCCATGTTCGAAGCATCTGTTGTGAGGGTAATAGTTGCCTCCCATGGTTGAAGGGATCTGCCCTTTAAAGTGTTTACTCTCGATAACCACCAATTCAAATGTTCTACAAGGTGTTGAGTAATGGGAATCTGAAAATCTAGATCTCTGGACGATGGTTTCCAGAAATGTAACAGATGTAACTGAATTGGTCTCATGAACAGTCTGGCATAAGGAATCAATTCTAGACAAGAGGCCATTAAACCCAATACTCTCAGGAAATTCTGTGCTGATGACATCTGATTCCCTGTTAGTATTAAGGTTTGAACTGCTAATTCTAAATTCTGAACTCGCTCTAGGGTTGGAAAAACTAAACCCTGATCTAGTCTGAATAAACTCCCCAAGTAGACTATTTTCTGACTGGGAATCTTTCTGTTGATTATGAAACCTAGGTGTAACAACAACTTGAGCACTTTCTCTCGATCCAACAATAACTTTTCTCGAGAGGAATTGACTATTAACCAATCTTCTAGGTAAGATACCAGTCTGATATTTTGTACCCGAAGATAAGCAGCTACTGTTGCTACTATTTTGGTAAATACCCTTGGAGCTTGGGTTGGACCAAAACATAGAGCTTTGAATTGATAAGCTTTTTCTTGAACAAAAAACCGAAGATACTTGCGATGACTTGGATACATTGGTACATGTAGATAAGCATCTTTGAGATCGAGAGAAATTGCCCAATCGTTCTTGTTCACCAAATTGATTACTTTTATCAATGTGTCCATTTTGAAATGCTTTTTCACCATATACCTGTTTAGAGGTCTTAGATTTATAATTGGTCTCAATTCCCCTGATTTTTTGGTTACTAGAAAAAATGTACTGTAAAAACCGTTCTGCATTTCCATGCAAGGAACAGGTTCTATTGCACCTTTTCCCAATAATTTTTGAACCTCTTCTAATATAAGAGCATTGGCATTTGTTTTGCGTATACCTGTCTGAATTGGGGAATAGAGAAATTCTAATTTTAGACCCTCTTTCAGAGTTTGTAAAACCCATTTGTCGTCTGTTATTTTTTCCCAATGATGGTAAAATTTTTGAAGACGACCTCCTACAGGTATGTGGGGACACATTGATATTATTTCTGAGTCATTGATTAGATTTAAAGTTGCGAAAAGAACTCACTTTGTAATTCTTTCCACGTGATGCTCTGTTAGACTGGGCAAATCTGTTTCCTGCTCCGTAACTGTAGTCTGTAGAGGTAGTTCTCTGTCTTTTGGGTTGAGCCTCTGAATAATATGTGAAGCTTTTTCTTTTATAATTGGTCTGCTGAGAAGTAGGACCTCTACTGCTTGTAGATTTAGACTTGAAATCTGGTAATACTTCAGCAAGTTGTTTATTTCTCTCTGTTTTCGCTTTGAGTTTATCGTCAAACTGACTCCCCAGAACACCATCTCCTGTCAGAGGAAGTGAAAGAATGGTGGAAGCATAGTCTTTATATTCACTAAGCCCTGAATCAAACATGGTGGCTTTGCGTCTTATGATGTGATGATAAGCTCCTGTCCTACAGATTTGATCAAGTGTTTTTGTTGACATAGCAAAAATGTCTCTCACCGTTTGAATAGCTCTATCTATATTTGGTTCTTTATCTTGTAGTGAATCTAACAAGAAACCCAATGCTTGTTGTGTATAACAGTTCGAAATAATAGCCATCCTCGAAGCGACTTGTCCTTGGTAACCCAACTTCTCCACTGCTCTAAGAGATTTGGTATAGAGTCCTGGCGAATTACCAAAAGCTCCCTTCTGTCCATATTTTTTGATAAGTAATGATTCTACTGAGTCATCCAAAGAAGGCACATTTAATATGTCCTTACTATCTTTACTTACTGGAAATAAAGTCTTGTAACTTTCTTTGTATGATGTCAATTTAGAAGGATTATCTGTCCTCCAGGATTTGCTGATTATTTCCTTCTGACTTACATCCAGACACAATCCCACATCTGTATTATCTGATGATGAAGCATCAGAACCCAAAATTTCAGTGAGTTTACTTATGTTGTTTTCTTTATTTTCTGTTGATTTTGCATTAGAAGTGTACTTGGAAAAACGTTCTTTTTCCTCACACAATACTTCGTCTTGGACTTCAGATCTGTGACTTTGATAAGTCTCATTTCTTGATATTCGACTTTCTTGATCTTCTGGAGAATCAAGCAGTGTTCTTCTTTCTTCCCTGCTGACATGAATAGACATAGCGTCTGGGTCTGATACTCGAGGCGCATCCGAAATGCCCTCTTGTGTATCACGAAAAAGTAGGCCCGCCGAAACGGCCGAATTTTCTCTGTTTCTCTGATGATCCGCCTCATTAGCGTCCATAGAAAATACAATATGGGGCTCAGAACCATTTTGAACATTGTCACTTACCAAACGGTTCATTAAAACTTGAAAAATTTGGTCAATTTTGTTATCTATCTGCCCCATTTGTTCTTCTTGACTGGCAAGTCTTGCTTCAAAATCTTCAAATTCTTTTCTGGTCGTGGTCCTCTTCTTTTTTCCTGAACGTGTTTTAGATGTTATAATAGAAGATATCTCTTCATTTTCTGCCATAATTTCCATACGATGGAGACAGATTGTCAAAGGTGTTGACTGTTTGGCGCAGAAAAATAAACTGATTAGAGGAAGTAAGCGTGTTTAGGACTGATCTGAGTCGGTAAAGCGCTTTATTTAAATGCGAGTTGACTGTGGTAAAGGGAGATAAATCCTTATGTATATTTTCTAGGTGGTAAGTAAAACCGAATGAAATGAAAGTGTGTGTGTGTGGGGGGGGGGGGGGGGGGGGGCTAAACCAACAAAAAACATCTGGGGGACTAAGCCCCAATTTTCAATGCCTATATTGTCTATCTTTGAAAAAAAAAGGGGGGTAGCCCCCCCCCCCCCTTGGTTCCGATACCTATGGTTCCTATAATATGGCAATACACTTAGTGTTGTTCAGTATATAGACCTTGCTGAAATAAGGAAAGTTAAAATTAGCTGGTGCTTGTAGTTGGGTCAAAAAGTATTGCTTGTTTATAAGTAAGGATGTTCACTGAGTAATTTTTTTGTAGGTCACATCACTTAATGCTGATCTCCAAGGCAGGTTTGACTGTACCAAGATGTAAAAAAAAAATTGACACATCATGTGCTGCACATTATTACCCTTTTCCAGGAAATACTTGGAGATGGCATTGACATTCCATGAGATAATATGACTCTTTTCCGATTAAGTGTTCGCTTTATCATATTAGAGGGAATTTTTTTTTCACTTGCCACAGCTATTTTGATTGCAGCATCTTGCACAACATTTCCACTGCAATATCTACACTAAAAGTTATTAATTCTGAAATTTTTTATGCATTTCAGAGGTGTTTACCCTATTTCACAGTTTGATGTCACAGTTTTTAGTAATTTTAATCATTATGGTTTTTGTCCGTAACTTGAGTTTTTCAACCATAATTTAGTGTTGCCCAATTTTCTAATGTACATTTAATAACTTTTAGATATGAATGATTTTTGATTGTTACTATACTATTCATTTTGTTAGCATACATAAATGGCATAGTGCAATTTAGGTCTTTAAATGAATAACTATCTTGCTGAAGAAAAAAAAAAAAAGAAATTCAGAGCATAATCCAGTTGCAAAATTTTCTGAAGCCATTCCTTAATCTGTATTTTGAAACAATAATCCGGGATAAATAGGGAATTTCTGTAATAGTAACAATTTTTTTTAGCAATTTTTGTCTCCCTAGCATCATTATTATATGTCCTTAGCAGACGGATGGATGGATGGACAACACCAAAATATAATGTCTGTCAAAAAAGTGCATAGAAAACCTAAGGGGTACTGATTTGAACAAAATTCAATCTGAGGGTGTTTGCATATTAATAACACCAGGTAATCTTGGCCTGCCTGATCTTAATTGAGAGTGTTTGCATATTAATATGACCAGATAATCCTGACCTGGCTGTTTTAAAAAAGATTTTGACAGATTTTCTCTACTTATTCCTATGTAAAATTTTGATCCCAAATGCCCCACCTTGGGGCCACGATCTGAACAAACTTCAAACTGCACTATCAAGATGTTTGCACATTAATTAATATGACTAAAATCATATTTCTGTTCTTGAGAAAAAGACTTTTAACAGATTTTTTCCTACATTATTCCTTTAGAAAACTTAAATCTCCTATACTGGCCCCTCCACACCCTCCAGGGGCCATATGATCTGAAAAAATTTGAATCTGCACTACAAGAGGATGCTTGCACATTAATATGACTAATCTTGGCTCTGCTGTTCTTGAAGAGATTTTTTATAAACAGATTTTTGTCTATGTATTCCTTTGTAAAATTTTGATCCCCAAATAGAGCCCTACCCCCCCACATCCATGATAATATGTGTAAAGTATAAATACCCCCCCCCCCCTCCAAAAAAAAAAAAATTCTTTCATTGTCCAGAAATTTGAGATATGGGAGTCTAGTATAGTGTTACAGTGTTCTGCTTTTGTTATTCTGACCAAAAAGTCTTCAAAATAGGTTGTTTCTTCATGCTAAGAAAATACAAAAGTCCCAGAATCCCCCTGTCTTACTTACTTAGGTCTAAAATGTCATTGGTTTTCACTGAAGCTTGGTCACGGTTGAGTGGTAGTTGAAGCTCTTCCTCTTTCAGCAAGGTCAAGGACAAGTCTCGTACCAGAAAAAATACCCGAATCGCCTAAAAAAGAATTAAGAGTACATGAAATTTAAATTTAAATAGCTTTCAATATTTTTGATATGGAGAAACTTGTAGGATAACCATTTACTAGAATTTTTATCAGGTTACGTAATACATGTACAGTTGAACTTTGATATCTCAAACATCAATATTGAATACCATGGATATATCGATGTAGGTTGAAAGTCCCAACAACTTTATCTTATCATCATAGCCTTAGCATCTCAAATCCTCCTTTATTTCAATTTTTTTTTCTTAGCCAATTGAGTTCATGATAACAAGTTTTGACTGTATATGATATTTAAAACATATGGTCAACATGGCATTTTATTAGTGGACAAGTGGACATGATGACAAAGTTTGACTGTATGTGATATTTAAAACACATGGTCAATATGGCATCTAATTAGTGGACAAGTGGACAATTTTTCAGCTTTCCAAAAGAGCAAAAAAAAAAAAAACAACAACAAAAAACAAAAACAAAACAAAACCAAAAAAAACAAAAAACAAAAAAAAAAAAAACAAAACAAAAAGCAATCAAAAAAAAAGACCAGTTGCAAAACATGATTCTTGATTCCCCAAGCTATATTTCTACTCCAGTAAATATGGCTTAACCAAAAACAAATAGGTTAAAAAACTAGAGCCGAGCTCGTTGCAATGCAACGAATAGGTCTTCCGTCGGAGCTCCGGACAGGACAGAGCGACCTTGAGTCAAGGTCATGCAACATTTTAAGGTTATAAACAATCCTGTAAGGGGCATCAACTTTCAATGTTTCAACAGTAGAAAGACAGTAAAGGAATGTAAAATTCCCCTGTCAGTGAACTTGAACTTGTCCAAATAACTTTGCGTCAAGCCATGACACATTCTGCAGCTTGTTAAGAGCAAACACCATCTTTATGTCACCGACATAAAAAAAAAATCACAGTCACGTATTCTTTCAGACTATTCATCCAAAACATCATATTCTAAGTGACCTCAAATTTAAGTCAAGGCCATTACACACTCTGGATGATATATTTATCATCTTTTCAGTGAAATGCAAATGCATGCAATTTTTTCTATTACAAAAGTATAGACCTTTTTGTTTATTTGTTTGTATGTTGTTTAACGTCCCTTTCGAGAATTTTTCAATCATATGGAGACGCCACCATTTGCCGATGGAGATCTGCAAATTTTGACCTATACTCGGCACACATGGCCATTTAGCAGTGAGGGATCTTTTTCGTGTCAGCACCTACTGCCAGACGGGACCTCAGTTTGTGCGGTCTCATCCGAAGGATTAGTCTCTGCGTCCCACAGTGGGATTCGAACCTGCGACGTAAGGATCAACTCCATAATCCACGACTCTAGAGCAGACACTCTTACCACTGCGCCACTTGGGCGACTAGACCTTTTTGAATTTTACACTTATTATATCAGTGACCTTGAACTTGCTTAAATGACCTATGTTAAGGTCAAAAACAACCTTTGAACAAATTATGAGCTTCCAGTGATACCCAATGACAAAGATATACCTGAAAAAGAATATTGCACTTTTCTGTCAGTGACCTTGAACTTGCCAGACAGACCTTGGATCAAGGTCAAAACACATTCTTGGATCATAAGCAATCTCTGTATCAAGTAAAAGCTTCCAGTGATTTTATATAACAAAGTTATAGCATGTGGAAAAAAAATAATATTTATCTGCTAGTGACCTTGAACTTGCCGAAAAAACCTTTGTTCAAGGTCAGGAAAACCCATCTCAAGCAATCTGAGAAAAAGTTTCCTGTGTTCCTCCCACCCCTTATAAATTTATAATCCAGGCACGAATTTTGCCACTTCTTCTGCCAGTCTAGTACTATGTTATCTCAAACCGGTGGATCATAAGCAATCTTTGTTCCAAGTATGAGCTTCAAAAGTTATAACACATACAGTAATCTTACAGTTTTCTGTCAGTGACCTTGAACTTACAGGAATGACCTTGGATGAAAGTCGTGTCAAACCCTTTAATTTTGTCATAAGCAATTTCTGTATCAAGTATGATACTTGCTATTTTTTTTCCAATGACCTTGAACTTGCTGGAATGATGTTGGATCAAAACCATGACACACCTTCGGATCATTAGTAATCTTTGTACCAAGTGACCTTCCAATTTCTTCATAACAAAGTTATAATATCCTTGGCGAACTATCACGTACAGACGGACAGCTAGGCAGACAAACAGTGTGATTCCAAAAGACTCAAAACACCCCCACCCCAAACCCACACACTTCGTTTGGGGGGATATATAAATTCCTTTGTTAAATTATGAACACTCTTTCCGGCCCAAACCTTCTCCCTGGAATCAATATTTGAAAAAAAAATGAATGTATGCTATGTTGGAAATTTTCTCATTCTAGTCCAGGGATTCTTGAGAATAATATTTTCAAATGACACCATGCGCGGATCTAGAGGGGGTTTTGGGCAGTTAAATGTATATACTAAACAAGAGGCTCATGGGCCACATCGCTCACCTGAGTAACTTTGGCCATGCTGTTCATTACCAGACTTCCCCCCCTTGTAATACCTATTGTGGCCCCACCCTACCCTCAGGGGCCATGATTTGAACAATTTAGAATCTACACTACCCCAGGATGCTTCCACATAAGTTTCAGTTTTTCAGGTCCAGTGGTTCTTGAGAAGATTTTTAAAGATTTTTCCTATATATTTCAATGTAAAAATTGAGATTCCCCCTATTGTGGCCCCGCCCTATCCCCGGGGTCATGATTTGAACAATTTAGAGTCTACACTACTTGAGGATGCTTCCACATAAGTTTCAGCTTTTCTGGCTCAGTGGTTCTTGAGAAGAAGATTTTTAAAGATTTTTCCGATATATTTCAATGTAAAACTTGTATTTCCTATTGTGGCCTCGCCCTACCCCCGGGGGTCATGATTTGAACAATTTAGAATCTACACTACCCCAGGACGCTTCCAAAAAAAGTTTCAGCTTTTCTAGCTCAGTGGTTCTTGAGAAGAAGATTTTTAACGATTTTTCCTATATATTTCTAAGTAAAATTTGTATTTCCTGTTGTGGCCCAGCCCTGTCCCTGGGGGTCATGATTTGAACAATTTAGAATTTACACTACCCCAGAATGCTTCCACATAAGTTTAAGCTTTTCTGGTCCAGAGGTTCTTGAGAAGAAGATTTTTAAAGATTTTTCCTATATATTTCAATGTAAAACTTGTATTCCCTATTGTGGCGTCGCCCTATCCCCGGGGGTCATGATTTGAACAATTTAGAATCTACACTACCCCAGGATGCTTCCACATAAGTTTCAGCTTTTCTGGCTCAGTGGTTCGTGAGAAGAAGATTTTTAAAGATTTTTCCTATATATTTCAATGTAAAACTTGTATTCCCTATTGTGGCGTCGCCCTACCCCCAGGGGTCATGATTTGAACAATTTAGAATCTACACTACCCCAGGATGCTTCCACATAAGTTCAGCTTTTCTGGCCCAGTGGTTCTTGAGAAGAAGATTTTTAAAGATTTTTCCTATATATTTCTAAGTAAAACTTGGATTCTCTATTGTGGCCCCGCCCTACCCCCGGGGGTCATGACTTTAACAATTTAGAATTTTCACTATCCCAGGATGCTTCCACGTAAGTTTCAGCTTTTCTGGCCCAGTGGTTCTTGAGAAGAAGATTTTTTAATGACCCTACCCTATTTTTGTCTTTTCTTGATTATCTTACCTTGTAAGGAAAATTGGTCCTTTATTTTAAAAATTTAAACTCCCCTTCCCCCAAGGATACTTTGTACCAAGTTTGGTTAAAATTGGCCCAGTGGTTCTTGAGAAGAAGTTGAAAATGTGAAAAGTTTACAGACGGACGGACAGGCGGACGGATGACGGACAACGGGTGATCAGAAAAGCTCACTTGAGCTTTCAGCTCAGGTGAGCTAACAAGTAAAAGTGACCATGCCCCCCCCCCCCCCCTTAGAAAACACGGACCCTTCCTCGAAAACGCGGATCTGTGTTAAAATGGTATGAAAAGTCTTAGCTAGGTATGAAGCTTTAAAAGTCAACGACCCCCCCCCCCTCCCCCATACACACACAAACACACACACAAAATAGGTTTTTCACATTTGGGAAAAGAGTTTCTTTTTTTTTTTTTGGCTCGTCAAGAAATTTCTGGGTTGAAATATTTTTTTATTGGGATCCCCTCCCCTCCCCCCCCCCCCCCCTCCGTGGAAAAAAATTCCTTGATCTGCGCCTGGACCCCATCTAATTTTTTCTACATGTATCCGTTAAAAGAGGATGTGACCCTTCATTTGAACAAAACTTTACCAAAAATATTCTGTGTTAATTTTTGTTGTTATGGTCCAGTGGTTCTTGATAAAAAATGAGAAAAATTTACGAGTAGCTTTAGAACAACAACGACGATAATGCTTATATACACCAAGATAGCAAACAAAGATGAAGAATTATGAACAGCAAAAGCTTACTTGGGTCTTTGGCTTGGGAGATGAGATACTTATTAAAAATCGAAATTATTTTGTCATCTTTTTTTTACAATCGACGGGCCTGCATTTCAAAGAGAGAGAGAGAGAATTTCTAACTAGGTCTTTGAATAACAGTGAGATCGGTTCAGAAAACCAGGTCTCTAAGAATGTACATGTACATAAAATAGGCAGTGCCTTTCTCTCGGAATTCATCACCTGCTTCTATAAAGCTCCATCCTCAATTGTACTGACATGTACCTGGTAAAACCAACCGACTGCTAAGGAAAACATTCTATTTATTTCGAGGATGGGGGTTTACGTATAGTGATGAGAGGAAATTTATTCACCTATACGTTCATTAAATATGAAAGATTGCTTCTGAGTATTTGTATACGATCGCACGACTTTCGTGTTAATTTATAAAAAGTTAGATTATGAAAGCAAAGAACTAAACCAACATTTGTTGTAAATGAATTAAATAATTATTTAGCCGTTTATAAGGTTTTTTTAACATCTGTAAGAACCACTTTATTTTAAAAAACAA